GAATGTGTGACTGTAGTTAACATCACTGGATGCATAAGATAGACATTCAAGTAGGTCACATGTTTACTCCTATGTTTAAGTCATCCTGTGCCCATTATTAGAGCAGGGTGTCTATTTCTTAAATGTCTTGTCTGCTATCTCTCCCTGTTGATTCCCTCTACCAACTAGGAGTATTTGGTTGTAGAGTCTGTACAGCTGTTGGTTGTGAAGACCTTGGAACAGCTATATATACTAACTGAATAGCAAAGTTCATTCATTTGCATATTCAGGTAGATTTACATATTATGGTTTCTGCAGGTAGCCAACATAATTCTTTGTCACCGTCTTCCCCACCCCTTTATGAATATGTTATTGTGTTAATATGAGTTGCTGTATGTTTCCACATATGATTTGGTTATATGTATTAGATTAAATGTGCCACTGTAATTTAAAAGCAATGCAAATTACCCAGGAACTGTACATGTTTTAAAGTTATGTTGCAGTTGTCTTTTTTTTTTTTTTGTATAACTTCCTCCCTATAGCTGTTTACGGTGAAAATAGAATGTCAAGTTTTCAGAGCTCTGTCTGGCTTCATTGAAAAGTTAATTTGTAGGTCTTCGCTGCTTTTTATTAGTCTTGGACTTTGCATCTTTGGTAGTTGGCCTCCCTCCCCAGTGACAGATCACAACCAAGTGACAAGAGGTAGTCAGCCTCCCTTCCAGTGGCAGATTTAAATTGAGCAAGAGGAGGTAGAGGGGAGGTAGAGGAAGTTGTCCTCTCTCCCCTACAGCAAATTGCAACCCAACAAGAGGAGGTGAGGTAGCAGGCCTTGCTCCCCAGTAGCAACACAGGGAGTGGTAGTTGGCCTCCATCCCCAATGGTAGATCACGACCAAGGAAAATGAGGTGGTCACTCCCACCTCCCCCTCTCCCACCAGCAACAGGAGTAACTGGCAACAGGGGGTCAGCTTCCCATCCCCACAGCACAACAGAGCTTAATGATAGTGCTTTGTCCAGGAGGCTGCCAGGGAGGATGACATTTTTGGGGCTGGTTACCTGACTAACTCAGGCACAGAATGTATCCAGACGGGGCGTGTCTTGGCCACCATCTTAGATGGCCACGTTTTAGAGAGGCTCCTGGACAAGGAGGTCAATTTTGTTCCAAAAGTGCCAATTTTAATTTTAATGGATCAACTCTAACTGATGCTACAAAAAGCCAATCCAATATCTAACATGCAGAAGCAAAAAAAGCCTGAAAAAAACGTACCTGGAACGAAGAAAGTGGAAGCAGGAGCTGCTGGGGTGAGTAAAGGTTCCGAGGCTCACTCCCCTGCTTCTAAATCCGGCTCGCGGCTGGTTTCACCACTTAAAATCTCGTTGGTGGTGTCAGGGAAATCCCTCCCTACCTCCCACCCAGTCTCCCAAGCTAAAACCTATGCCTGTGCGGCCGCGACCCGTTCGCGGCATCCTGAGGGTGGTGTGACAGCGGCCGCACTAGCCGACACTTCCGTGTGCGGCTCAGAGTGCTGCAAGCACTCAGCATGCTCGGAGCACAGGGCTGTGTCTCCCGCGAGCAGCAAGGACCACCCAGCAAGCCGCTCGCGGTCTAACACTAGAGCAGCCCGGTCGCTCACTTACAAAAGCGACCGGGTTGCAAGTATAGGGGAGGGCAGTGTGAGGTCATGCTCCCCGTCGGGATCCTCAGCCTCCAGGTTGTCGGTCTCGGTGGGGGGGGCCTCTGCTGTCCGACCCAAAACATTTAAAGACACAGTAAGGGCTATAATAAGCCCAGATGATAACAGTATGGAATTAGTGCTCCAAATAAGTTCTTACTCTGCACTACCACAGAGAATAAGTCATGATGCCACATCAAAGATGGCTGCCAGTCCAGATATTATGTATTCCACTCCCAAGATGGCCACTGCCACCTCCAGTATGGCTACTACCACATTTAAAGCAGCGATTTACAATCCTAATATGCCACCTGAATTGGCAGAAGATCTGCCACCGTCAGCTGGCATGATAATTCAACTCATCAAAGATTTGAGAGTTGATTTGAAAAACGACTTTAAAAAAGACTTTGATGCATTATATGGAGCCATGGAGGGCATTAATCAACGAACAGAAATAATAGAGAATAGATTGCACTCTCAAGAGCAATCTCACCTGGATCTGGTTGAAACTGTAAAATAGCTCCAAAAGCAAGTGCACCAACAAGCGGAAAAGTTAGCGGACGCTGAAGATTGAAGTAGGCGTAATAACCTAAAGATCAGGGGGATCCCTGATAATATCGATTCTCTGGAATTACCAAGTTATTTCCAGACAATGGTGAAGTCAGCTCTACCAACTGCTAAAAATACGGATTTACTACTGGACCGCATCCATAGATTGCCCAAACCCGGCAATGCACCTGCGGCTGCACCCAAAGATGTGATAGTGAGATTTCTCTACTACCACATTAAAGAGGAATTTCTTGGTGCAGTACGCACGTCAGGCCTCACAGGAGATTACAGCGGCATGAAGGTCTTCCAAGACTTCTCTGCTCAAACAATGAGGCGACGCAGGGAATTTCAACTTTTCACTGCGGAGCTAAGACGAAGAGGGATAAGATATAGATGGGATTCCCGGTTAAAGTCCTTTTCCGAATAGATGGTCGGAATTTCATAATCACGTCGCCTGAGGAAGGAATGGAACTCATCAATTCCATGAATAGACGTCAGGTTTCGCCTCATAGACTCTCGCCATCCACTCCTATGCAGGCCAACAAGAGAAGCAAATCGGACACTTCCTGAGATCCCAGCTCATAGAGCTACAGTCTTTGTTTTCCATGGTTGTAAGTTGCTCGACGCTTCGAGTTGAGATGTTCTTCCTATCTTCATAAAGGAATTTTATTTATTTATTTTTAGACTTTATTTTAATGATTTTTTTCTCTTTATTGATTTTTATGGTATGGTTCTGAGAAATCTTTATCTCTGAAACAGATTATCGAGTCCTGCTCCAGTCCGGAGATTTATCGGGATTACTTTGAATCTTGACTTGTTTCTCCTTTTTATGACAGACTTTTGAGTTTGCACACCAACGGTTATTTGATATGTGCCTCTGCGGTTTATTTCAGAAATCAAGTCGATTACTTAAAACTTTCTAAATTTATACAATTGAAATTGTTTTTTATATAATTTCATATTTATTTAATTTTATTATTATTTTTTATTGTTTTGTGCTTTTTGTCCTTTCAAATGTCATATTTAAAAAGTTGCTCTTGGTTTTGTTTTTTACTATTTATATTGGCTCCCCTCGTACCCAGTAGCCTTCTCCCCCCCCAACCTGGGCCTAACACCCTGAGGTGGAGAAACTTTTTTTGTTCTCCCTCATAGCCCCCTTTTTTATTTTTATTTTTATAAATTTTTTGTCCATCCATTCTTTAAAGTTCAGTAGAAATGTTTCCAGACCATGAACCACTGAAATGTTTCATACAAAAATGCATACTACGTGGCATCAGCAATTTGCAAAAATCTGTTTATTCACTATTCCTGTACACACATGTACACAGCTTCAGTTTGTTTTGAAAGTATTGTTGGACCTGCATGTTTCTCTCTTGGAAGGCGGTTGCTTGGACTCTCACAAAGTTGAATGTTCTTTTACCTTTTACCAGGTATTACTGTTCCATAAACCACGGTTTTAAAATATATGTCATTTAATGTGAGAGGCCTGAACACCGCCCACAAGAGACGATTATTATTCAAAGAAGCAAAATCCAACAAATCAGATGTAATCTGTGTACAGGAAACGCATTTTAAAGAAGATAAAGACCATAAGATTATGTCAAAGCTTTTCCCAGTCCAATACCATTGCACTTATAAATCCAAGTCTAGAGGTACATCGATTTTCTTTCACAGGAATGTAGCATGTTTGACAAACAAAGTAATAACGGATGATGACGGGAAGTATTTAATATGGATTGGATCACTCAATACTATTGAATATACTATTGTGAACATGTATTTTCCAAACACCGGTCAGTTGCAGTTTTTTAGGAAATTGATGGACTTAGTGAATGAGAATGTGAGAGGCAGCTTGGTAATGTGTGGCGACACAAATTTTTTCATGGATGGAGAATTGGATAACAGTAGGGAAGAACGTGATCAACAGCATAGAGGGGACAGTGACAGATTAGCATATAAATGCTCCAGATACATGACTGAATGTGGCTTATACGACTACTGGAGACTGATGCATGAGAATGAAAGAGATTTTATGTATTATTCTGTATCTAAAAATATATATTCCAGGCTGGACCAGTTTATGGTCCAGGGTGCTCCAATCATAATGCATATTGACAAAATTGTTTCGTCAGCCCCAAACAGAACCTGGAAATTAGGCGATTATTTGTTAAATGATGTTGTGAACAGGTCATCGACGGAGAAAGCTTTCAGTGATTATTTTTCGGAAAATGACTCACCCGAGGTTCCTGGCGAGGTGACTTGGAATGCGCATAAGGCTGTGTTAAGAGGTCATTTTATTTCTAGAGCGTCTCACCTGAAGAGAATTAATAGCAATAAAATGTACAATTTGAACCAGGCTAATACATTTGGTCCATCGTCCTCCCTATCAGCAATGATAGGAGAAATTAAGAAAATTAATTTAGATTGACATCTCTCATGGTGAGATGTCTCAGGAAAACATTTTACTTAAAAGGCAACAGGGCTTCAACTCTTTTGGCATCCAAACTCCGGCATGTAAATGCCCAATCAAAAATAGCATATTTACTTGATGATCAGGGGCGAAAAGTGTTTCATCCAACTAAAATTAGTGATATGTTTGCAGAGTATTATAGTAAACTTCATCATTTAGAATGTAATTCGGACCTTCCCCAGCCTTCTGCAACAATAATTGATAAATTCTTAGACAGAGTGTCATTGCCTCGGCTGTCTCCAGGACATTTAGAAGGCTTAGAATGTGAACTATCAGCAGAAGAGATAGCTGAGGCAATCAAACGTATGCCATCTGGAAAAGCCCCTGGTCCCGATGGAATCACTATTTTATATTATAAAACTTTTCCAGAAATTTTAATTCCCCATATGACTTAAATGTTCAATTCCTATAAGTCTGGGGAAAAGATGCCGGAGGAGTCCTTGTGCGCACAAATAGTCACCTTGCCAAAGCTGGGAAAAACTCCCGATAGATGCCCTAACTTTAGGCCCATTTCTCTGATAAATAACGATTCAAAGATTTATTCTAAAGTTCTCGCAAATAGATTAACCAAATTAATCCCATTGCTAATTAATAAGGATCAAGTAGGTTTTGTACAGGATAGACAGGTGCCAGACGAACTAGAAGATTCATAAACTTGATTCAGCATATCAATATGACCAAAACGCCTTCTTTGCTTCTATCTCTAGACGCAGAGAAGGAGTTTGACAGGAAACATTTGGGATATTTATGGAGAACGTTAGACAGGTTCAACATACCATCATCCTTTATCACAGCAATTAAGGCTCTATATTGCGCACCCACCGCCCATGTCTCAGCTTCTGGCTTCACATCCAAAACTTTCTCTCTAACCAATGGGACGAGACAGGGGTGCCCTTTATCTCCAATTTTATTTGTTTTAGCGATAGAACCTATGGCCGAACTAATTAGAACGACCCCACAAATTGTAGGAATTGCTATTAAAGAATCCGTTCACAAAATTGGCCTGTTTGCAGACGATATAATCCTAGCTGTTAAAAACCCAAAAGAATCTTTGAGACACCTCAAGGACATTTTAACTCAATTTGGCGAGATATCGTACTACAAATTAAACGAGTCCAAAACTCAGGCCCTCCCGTTTCATTTAAATAATTTGGAAACCATTGCCCTTAAGAAATCATATTTATTTGATTGGAGAACTGACTATATGGAATATCTTGGCATTAATTTATGCAAAAAATTGGTCAATATGCACAATCACAACTTGAGGAAAGCATGGTCGGACTTACAAAAAGAAATGGAGAGATGGGGCAGGATGGAGCCCTCATGGCTGGGGAGGGTCGCATCTATTAAAATGACGATACTTTTTTAATAAAGTTCACTTGACAATGCTGAAGTTTATCTGGGGGAACAAGCCTGCCCGAGTAAGGCTCACTTCCCTGCAGCACCATAAATCGAATGGCGGTATCGGTGTCCCTGATATCCGCAAATATTTTTTCGCCACTAATGCTGCAGTGGTTGTGAGCTTTAACAACCAGGTTGATAAACCCAGATGGATGGAAATAGAAGAATCAAAAATTTTACTGGTTAGATTATCAGAATTACCTTGGTTAAATCCTAAGAAAAGACCTGGAATTACAAAATTATTTTGATCTACCAAGACTACGCTTAAGGACTGGGACATTGTTTTTAAAAATGACCATTCTCCCAGTTTATATAGAGCAATGCCTATTGAGTTATTGAAAGATTATATACCATCCTAAAAAATAGAACTGTTGAAGGATTGCCCTATAACTAATCTGAATAATTTTTTTTATGGCAATGCTATTCTTTCTTTGCAAAAATTGAAGCTTAAGTATGGATTATCAAATGTATGTGAACTGGAATGTATGCTAATCATTGACAAATTGAAAGAACTATACCAGGTATCTGAAACAGATAAAAACTATAAATCACTTGAGATATCTGTAGCGGAGTTGCATTATTATTAAATCCCAAGATCTCAGCTGGTATAGAAGGTAATCCAAAGTAAAGCGCTGGAAAAAAAGGCAATATCCCAAATCCCCCAGTAACCGGACAAAACACAGTTCAGGGAGTCAACTGACAATTTTATTCACAGCTCCAGGAGTCAACTGAGAATTTTATTCACGGCTCCAGGAGTCAACTGACAATTTTATTCACGGCTCCAGGAGTCAACTGACAATTTTATTCACGGCTGTTAGCCTATGCATGCTCTCTATTCTAAAACACACGAATACATTTTTACACTGGGTTAACACAGCTATTTCAGACAACCTTTAAATGTTCTGCAATATGACCTAAAGTGACTAGGTTTGCCACGATATCTCCTTTAGAGAAAGTTTTTTTTATATGGCCCCGCTTGTAAAGGTATGATATCCTTATGTTATTTGTTTCATATTGCCAAGCCCTTAGTTAAATTAAAACATATGTTGTCATGGGAGACGGAGTTGGGTGCCCAGTACGATTTAGAAGAATGGTTCGTTTTTTTTAAAGGTTTAAAAGGTATTTCGTATTGCACCGACCATTTTGAAAATCATTATAAAATTTTATATCGCTGGTACCTGGCTCCGTTTAGATTGCACAACATGAACAATATGTATTCTGACCGGTGTTGGAGAGACTGTGGGGGTGTGGGCAATATGGCCCATATCTGGTGGTTCTGCCCCAAATTAACTAATTATTGGAAAATGATTCATGATCTAATTATTAAAGTGAACAGAACCATTAGCATTTTAACTTCGGAACTAGCCTTATTTAAAAAACTCCCGGAGTCCGTTAATAGATCAGACAAAATAATCATAGACCACATTCTGATCGCTGCTACATCCTGTTTACCTAGACATTGAAAGTCCCAAAATGTGCCATCTCTCAGAGAAGTTTTTAATTTGATTCTAGAAAACAAAGCACACGAATTATCGCATAGAGCTAATATGCATGGTTTCCCAATATTAAAATATAATTGGGATAAATGGGAAGAAAAAATTAAAACAGTTTATGGTCTTTGATATATTTATTGTTAAAGTGCATTGATGTACAAAATTTTTGCCATATACATTGTTATGCCTATTTCAATGATGTATGGATACCCCTTCCCATTTCCAAGTTCCCCTTCCTTTCCTACCCCTAATACAATGTTTGTATTATTATTACTTGTTATACAAAATATTAAAACTTTAATAAAAATTATTTGAAAAGAATGTATCCAGACAGATGCACATTCAATTGCTTTCATACAAGAAATAATTTAAAAGTACTATTTGTGTGCTGGCAGTGCTCGTGTGCAAATAGTACTTAATACTACTTAATAACCCTCAGCAATGTGAGGGCTAATTGTCTAGTGGCTGGTCAGTGCTTGTTTGCCAGATGCCACATTAAAAAAGGAAAAATAAATTAAAAAGAATCCCATGCCCCTCCTGCTATGTGACAGGTGGAGACATATCTACTAAAGATTTCATCTAAGATGAGAGAATTCGTCAGCCATTGCTGCCCAGTTGCTTGAAAGTTTTTTTCCAGGGGAATAAGGCCTGTGAAAAAAAGGAGGAGAAACGAAATGCCCCCACCACCTGAATAAGAATTAGAACCCCAAATCTGACGCTTATGCTATAATAGCCCCCTCAAGATGTCTGGATGCAGACACCAGTATATGTAACTACTCTGTGACTCCCTGCATCTATCTAGACTAAAGCATTCAGTATATTTCATAGATTAATATTGCAGATTGACTGGGATGCATTTATCATAGAAAACAATTTAGGGGAGCATGAATCTTTTTAAAACAACTGTCTCATTCAAAGAATCTGCCTTTCCATGAAACAGTCGCCTCATTCTTCAGGCTGAAAAAGCAGGTAAATATGTTTTTTAAAATGTTTTAAATTTTTACCTGCTTATTTTTTCCTGTGTTTTCTACAGCTACCTTAGGGCAGAAACTGATGCAGCCAAGCATTGTCCTATCCCTAGGTTTGGTGGAAAATCAAACTGAGCATGAGCATCAATAACTTTCCACGATCCTAGGATGGTAGGCACTTCCCCTGGTGTTTTCATGTTTAGTTAGGTTTTCCTTCTTTAGTATTTTATCTGCATACATTAACATAAGGGCAGCAATATACATTCTATAAGAATTACTTTCCATAATTTATTTCCCTTAGCAGAACATGAAAAACACTGCCAGGCTGCATATTCCTGTACGGTCTATTTATATATGTAGCAGTATATATGTAGCAGTATATATATATACACACACACACACACACACACTATGGAACCTACTGTTTCAATTCATTATCATGGCATGTCCTCCATTCACATGTCCTTTTGTAATGTCATCTTCCACAAACTCTTCCTCGTATATGTTCTTTTATCTTGCCATCTTTGCATTCTGCCACACTATTTTAGTTACTTTATCTCAAATTTTTCGGAACCACCTTCTCCCTTTACTTTGGATATAACCACTGTGGATGGGGGCTTTTTTTTGGTCTCTTCTCTTTCATGCCCCTTTTCACTGTCTATCACACTCCTGTTTTGTATCAAGCAACCTCCTAACTCTTTAGAACTTCTACTGTTTTACTCCCTCTCTATGTCCTCCCATCTTAAATTGTCATGCCATCTTCCTTTTTTATGATATCTCCACTCTATTTTAATTTTTTTGTCTCATACTTTCGCCCTGTCCTCTTATATTGCCATCTCTTACTCCTTTCCATCCTACTCATTTTCCTGCTATCTACCTATTTCATGCCATATCTCTACAGTTAGTCATATACTCTGCATATTACTGTTTCATGAAATCTTATTCAAAGCTCCTTTTTTATTCCAGCTCTTAACTCTACCTTGATTTAGTAATTTATTTAATTTCCTCGTATCGATTTGGTATAATTTAACAAAAAGAAAATCAAACATACCTAAGTTTATCAAAGCATATTATTGTTAAAATTCCTGCTCTTATTAGCAATTCAATAACTTCATGACGTATGAAATATTTCATGGCCTAATTGCAAACTTTTTGTTGCTAAATTTCTTTTTCACATGTAGTGTGCCCTCAATGGAATTTTTATATGTATGAACCATTATTTAGTATGATCAATTCACAAAATAAATAAATAAGAAAAACAAATGTTTATTACAATTATTTTGTGTGGTAATATACTTACAACTAGTGAAGTTGAATAAAAATATTCCAATATATTGTTTTATGTAGTATAAATAATGGCAGTGCAAGCTATTAATTAACAGAAGCCTTGAAAAAAAAGATAAGATGTAATAACTGGTTTGTGTTTTCTCAGTTGAATAAGTTATATATATATATATATATATATATATATCTTCTTTGGCTAAAGGTCCACCAGGTTAATATACATCTATATTAACCAAAAAGTACTAATACACATTCTGACATTCTTTATAAAAATATGCATTTATTCTACTTCAAAAGCAAACAGTAATATGCTTAACAGATGGTATTTCTTAACAACATTTCAAAGAGTGAGAGATGTTAAGTTGTCGTCTTTGTATCAGCAAGTCAGGGACACACCAGGAGAGGAGAGCGGATCACAGGAGAAAGAGAGCGTGGCCCTTTATCCTCAGTTCTTTATAGACCCTACCGCCATTTTCCCTATACAGCACATTCCATAGTCTTCATGGTACAGAATTGCAAACACCATTTGTTCTTTTTAACCCATTAGACATCCAAACCTTAAAATGTATTTGAATAGGAACATATAGAATATGTAATATTCTATATTTCCCTCTGTTTATGGTTTATCTATAAAACATAAAAAAAAATGTTATTTACCTGTCCATTCATATATCATCCATATCACATTCATATCACAGTCATTGAGTATAAGACGAGATGTGTTCATAGCTACCCGGTATATTATATTCCTTGGAAGTATGGTGTATTACCAGGTTTACAGTTTCCTTTAGTGTATTCTCCTTCTGTTTAATCTTTCCATTATGAGTATGTATAGTTTTATAATTCTACATTGCATAACTACTTGTAAAACTATACCTATTATAGATAATAAATATTTACAATTGCTGATCCTACAGATGATTTAGCAAGTGTGTTTGTACCTTTAATTACACCCTGTGTAAAGAAAGAGTTACCTGCCCAGGTTCAGTAATGTGATTATAAGAAACACAATCAGGATATTGTAATTTATAAAATAATAATTGTGTGTTATTAATCGGAATCCCTAACACCGAACTTGAAAATAGTGTTTTTTTTCAATACCAGTAATTGGTATTAAAGAAGAACTTAATACATATATCATTGTTACATCTCAACCATTTGTTAACCTGTAAATCTGTATTTGGGTGCAATAATAGAGGCTGTACTCATAACCATATTTCTCAGTATTTGATTTAAACCTCTTTGAATGTGCAATCCTTTTCCCCCTATTAACCCTACAGTTCCCAAAACATTAATGTTTGAATATCTGTAGAATTAGTGATAATTCCTATAGTACCAAATCCAGCCATAATTCCTTCTACTATACCTCTTTTTTTTGTTTGCTACTTTATTTCCTCCAAACCAATTTTCTAAGCCTTGTTCCATATTTAATAAATGTTCCTTACATTGTAGAAATTGTAGAAATTTAGTTGATATTTTCCACTGATAAACAACTATGGTTGCAAATTTCCCATCTAATATCAAAGCCTTTGATTGAAAAAAATTCAATTGAAAGGGACTTGATAACTTAAAAACCTTATTTTTGCATTCTACCATTCTGGGAGAAAATACATTTACCTTAACATCACCACATTTCTCGTGATGATTTCTCAACATTATACAACATTGATAGTTCCCACTATCATTGTAGGTATCATTGTCTAAATAGAAAACAAACATTTCTTCTGACCATCGCTGGAAGTGGGGTCTGCAGTGCTTATGGTGTGAGGTGGAGTGCTTGGAGTCCTCGGCAAGCACTAGGAGCATTGATTGGCGGAGGTACTCGGTCGGAGTGCCAGCGGTCCGTCACACTCGTATTTCCCATATCCAAGGTATACCAGGAGTATTATTTTTTAAGAGGAATTCTGTCTCTAAATGTATAAGCCAATATTGAATAGTATAATGTATGTCACCACCCCTCGTCCTCATGTTGTTACTGAAGTTTGTGCAACGTTCACATACATATCACCTGACCAATTTACCATTTCCTCTCCATTAACTACAATAATGATATATGCATTTTGTAATATGTTAAGTTCCCATGATCCCGTTTTTACATTACCTTGTACAAATGAACCTTTGGTCTAACTAAATAAATAAGTAAGACCTATTGTAATGTTTAAATTAATAACGCTATTTCCTGTGAAATTAATTTGCACGTTGTCCCAAAACAAACATGACCTTTTAATACTTGTTCCTTGTCTTTTTTTCTAATATTTCCCAATACGTCATTCTTTAATTCCTGATTAAAAATCGTTTTGTTCATCTTAAATATAAATACTACAAGAACGGTAGTCATCAATGTTAGCAGGATGCTGACGAACAACTTTTTCCTGCTACACGGTTGCATTTGCGAACACATCGTCTGTCACCGGCCAATTTTCCTCTGTAGGTTTGCTTACAAATTATTTAAAATAAACCAAGAAAAACAAAGCAGTATCAATATATTATCAAATTATGTTGTAGGTTTATACAATTTGCACTGATCTGCATGACCCAAAAACAGTTTTGCCTCTGTTTATTTTGTGAACCATCAAGAGATCTTTGCACTTGTACCATTGTATCTGTTATTTTGTAAGGACCTTCTCATTTTGCCTCCCAAGGTCCAGTTTTCCTAAAAAAATTGATCATGACCATACCCCCATTTAGAAACTTAGAAAAATAAGGAGGTGCTATTTTGTACATACAAGTAGCT